CTGAGGGATACCACAGGCCAAAGGGCAGGTTGCCGAACAGGACTGCCCCAGCAACAGCTTCTGAGATTTCCCTTTCAAGAATGACCAGAGCCATTGTGGTACAGTGCCTCCAAGTCCTACCTTAAGGAGCCTCCTCAGGAGGATACCATACCTGACAGTATCCAAAACCACTGAGACATCCAGCAAATCCAACAGAGGGTGTGCAGTTTGGGAGTGCTCCTCACCCCAGAGTTGTCCCTGGAGTCTCAGCTGGCAGCAGTGGCAAGGAGCATTTTCCTTCAGCTTCGGCTGATCTATCAACTGCACCCTTGCCTGGATGAGCACTGCCTAGCAATGATGACTCATGCTCTGGTAACTTTCTGATTAGATTACTGTAACGCGCTCTATGTGGGGCTGCCCTTGAAGATGGTTCAGATACTTCAATGGTCCAGAATAGAGCTGCCACAATATTAACGAGGATCAGCAGATACTCACATATAACGCTGGCCCTCTATCATTTACACTGGCTGCCATTTGAAGTCCAGGCACAATTTAAGGTGCTGGTGATGACCTATAAAGACCTATATGGCTTGGGTCCTGGGTACCTGAAGGAGTGCCTTCTTCCCTATGTGCCCTCCTGCCCCTTGAGATCTGAGGCAGAGGCCCTGCTCTGGGAGCCTTCCTTGAAGGAGAGTGGCCACCTGGAGAAGGGACTTATCTGTGGTGGTGCCCCATCTATGGAATACGCTCCCCAGAGAGGTTCGCCTGGCACCAACACTATATTCTCTTCAGCGTCTGGTGAAAACCTTTTTATTTTTCCACTATTTTAATGTTTAGTTTGTTTTAACTGGGGTTTTTTATCTTGATTGCTGGATGCTGTGTTGTTTTGCTATTTTATTTTTCTTTGTTGTAAGCTGCCCCAGGATGTCAAAGTGGTGGACAGGGTATAAAAGTTTTAAAACAAACAGATACATAAATATCCCTGTCCAGTTCCTGGTGTAGATCTTCCACCAAGTCAGTCAAAGAAGTCTCTGTTCCAAACCTACGCCTGACACCAGAATGAAGTGCAGTGCCTCTTGCTACACCCAGCTCCTATGTTCCTGCCACTGGGGAGCTGCAGGCATTGACCAGATATTAATCAGCTTAGCAAATTGGCAGTGTTGTGTCTCCTGAGCCCATGCCTTGAGATTTTGCAGTATATCTGAAGAATGCATCTCCTTCTCAGCACAGCTTTTCTTGAATTTGCAAACAGAGTTGGCAAGGAGAACACTGAAACGGCAACATTACATTAGATTTCCTAGAAAATTAGTTCTCTAAATTGAATGAATGGATAGATGTGCATTTACTTCTCTTTCTGACTAAGTGAGGTTGTAAAGCTGGGCATTCCTAGCTCTTTTTGCCACATAGAACCAGGAACAAAATACCCAGTCTAGCGTATTAAACGCAAGGGTAGTGGTAGCTATATGATATATGTCTGCCAATGAGTGAGATGCCATTGCAGAAACAGAAAGAGCCCATTAAAAATGCAAGAAAGAACCCACTTTGTATTTATAATTGTTTAATATGAGAGGCATTTGCACAGCTGAGGTGTTGCCAGCCATGCTTTTCAACCTTGCATATGACTATTCAGTTTTGTGACTCCTGTGCTGAACCCAGTTCATGTTGCCAGCCAATGCTAACACATTAAAAGCCAGGAGGTTTAAAAAAAACCCTGTGGTGGTCAAGGGACCATTAGGCTGCCAACTAAAAGGAAAGCTGCATACATATATGACCTGCCTGTCTGTCTAAAGGTTAAGATTCAGACACAAAATGTGTTATTGGTCTAACATCACGCCAAATCCCCCACTCGCTCTTCCAATAGGGGTCCAGAATATTTAAGAGAATACCCTCTCCTGTGTCAGCCTGCTTGGTCACTGAGGTCATTGGATGAGATGCTTGTGGAGCTTCCACATGGACCTTGGTGTGGAGTCCATTCAACACAGAATCTCCAATGAACTGGATCCCCCTCTGTGGCACTCCCTGCCTGCTGATGTCAGGCAAGCACCAAACAAATAAAGATGCTTTGTTTTCAGTGCCTGCTGAAGTTATTTGTTCAAGCAAGTTTTCCCTCACCACTCATGATTTTACTAACACCATCTGATTTTAGGTGTTCTGATTCTGTATTTGATTCTCCTTCCTTCCTTCCTTCCTTCCTTCCTTCCTTCCTTCCTTCCTTCCTTCCGTTTAGCATCTATGTCAGATAGAGTGTGCTATACGCATCCTAAAAATAAGTAAATAAATAAGATGGTGGTCTATACAGTTTGGGGCTGGCTTGGTTTTCACTGAATTCTATGGGCTAAAGCAGGGGTCTGCGACCTTTCTGGATCAGAGAGCACTTGTGGAATCTTGTGTGTTATGAATGCTCTTACAAAATGGCTGCCAAAAAGGGCAAAACTTATCATAACACAGTAATTTCCCAGAAGGCAAGGTGGCAAGACTAAAATTTGCCCAGCAACCTAAATAAAAGGCAAAAGTGTGTTCTGGCTCTTGTACGCAAAACCACTCTTTCGAACACAAATAAAGATGGTACTGTAGATCGGCATGTTGCTTTGCAGCATACATGGCACTCTCCGAACTAAAGTCATTTTTTAAAAATCATAAGAAATACAATAAAAACCAGGAGGGACGGAGGTGAACCAAGAGAGGTGCCTATATGGCCTGCAGGCAAGGCACCATTTTGGAAATTGCAGAGCTAAAGTAAATGGGATACAATTTTGAGTATAACTGAGCATCAGTTAAACCTGGGCTTCAATTAGTTTGCTGTACTGCTTGGTGCTGAAATACGGTTGAGGAGTTTAGCATGCAAATCCCCATTCAGTCATGAAACTTCTCCACCTCTTAGGTGCTTGCATTATGGAGGCGGGGAGCAGGATGCTTCCCTATTCACTTCCCCACATCATGCATAATCTGCTACACCTCTGAGCTGAATCTCATTTCAAGCCTGGAAAGAGGACAGTGTCCTCTGTCACACCTCAGGGTACCAGGCTGGCTCAGGGGGCACAGGGCGGTCGACTTGGTGCATGCAGATCTGTCCTCCTCCCCAACCTGCCCTCACCCTGCCCCAGCATCTGCTGCCTCACGCTGCCGGAAGGATAGGCCTTATCCTCATCCTCAGAAACAGCACCCAAAGTGGCTGTACCAAAGTAGGCAGGATAAGAGCAAATGAGATTGGGAGGAGCATCAAAGGGAACTCTCCAAGCTGGGGAGAGGAGCAGCCAAAGGGCGAATGGGATTCAGTGTGAAAGGGCAAATGATGCACCCGGAGGCAAAAGAGCAGAGCAGATCTGAGCTGGTGCTCTTTGACCAAGAAAGAGATCTTGAGGTTGTGGCTAACACTCAGAGAAAATGCTGAGCTAGCTAGTGCACAGCGGCTGCAAGAAAGTTACACTCCATGTTAGGCATAATTAGAAAAGCAAGTGAGGGGAAAGACCCTACGAAGACCCTACTCCCATTATAGTGCACCTCATACAACTCCCCTTACACAACTTGGTGGCATGGCCACATTTAGAGACCTATGTGCAGTTTTGGTCTTCATATGGAAAAATGGGATTTTGTAGTCTTAGAGCTTGAAAAATTGCAGCAAAGAACACTAAAATGATCAAGGGGTTGAAACACAATACAGAAGGTTACACTGTCTGGTTTTGCTTAGCAAAGGTGACTTTGGAGGGGTATGATAGAATACAAACGTAGGCATGGCATGGAGAAACTGGATAAGGGGACATTTTTCTTCTCCCGTAACACTAGAACCCAGGGTCATTCCATGGAACTTATTGGTAGGAGATTCAGGACAGATTCAAAAGAAAGTTCTTCACCTGACACATAGTTAAACTATGGAATTCACTTCCACAAATGTCGCGATGGCCAATCTGGATGGCTCGAATGGGGGTTAGACGCATTTATGGAGAACACCATGGGTGGCTACTAGTCCTGATGGCTATGTGCTACCTCCCTGTTCAGAGCCAGTGTGCCTTTACCGCTCAGGAACAACTAGAGGGACCCTTGTGCTGATGCCACATGGCTCTTGTCATGTCCTTCAAAGTGGCTTTCACTACTGGGACCAACCCCACAAAACGTAACTCTCCCCGCATGTGTCCAAGCTTGCCCTCGCCACAGATGGAGGGTTAACCAAAAGCACGGGATGGAGGCACCTCAGAGGCAATCTGCAGACCATGCTTTTGATTCCTCCCGTTTAAAATGATACAAGCACTAAGACTGGGGGCCAATAGGGCAGCGGATGCAAAATCCAGTTACCTTCCATGCTCTGGCATCCCAACAATGGGTGACCAGGAGTCAAGTTACATGGATTCAGGGTGGAAATGGGGAGCATCCTATTTTACTTGTAAGAAGAGCGCACAGGGACACTTTGCAGCCCTGCTTCCCATGGGGGGAGGACCCTGCAGGATTCCCTCCCTCCCTCACACAAGCCCCCATCCTGATGAGCGTAGCGAGGAAGACAAGAGCAGAAGATGTCTCGCCCAGGTCCGCCCCCCTTCCCATTCTTCCTCTATCGAACCCGCTGCTCCCAAGTTGGGGAAGGGGAGCCGCGCCGGTCGCCGCCGCTGGCGGGGGCGGGGTGGCCGCGCTTCCCCGTAAGGTGCGGCGGCGGCGGCGCTCTGCGACGCCTCCCGGGGCTCGGGGAGTTCCGGAGGGGACCGCCCGTGGGAGGGGGAGGCGAGGCAGGCGCAGGAGCCGCCGCCGCCGCCGCCCTCCTCCTCGCCGTCGTCTCCTGCCCCCCTTTGGCTCCGGACTCCGTCTTGGCGAACCTCGGCTTGCGAGCGCGGAAAGAGCCCTCCTCTCGGAGAGGCACGCAGGGCCCCTCCTCTGGAGCGCCGTGACGGTGCCCGTGATATGATGATGATGGGTGGCGAAGCCCGCATTTGAACTTGCGGCAGGCCAAGCGGACGGGGGCTCCTGGATGCCCGGAGCTGCAGCCAGGCTCTTCCCAGCCCGCGATCAGGTGTTCAGCCCCGGAGGGTGGGGGCGGGCACGAGGAGCAGGAGGAGGAGGAGGAGGAGGAGGAGGAGACCCGAGCCCGGAGCGGCGGCTAAGCAAGGGACTGAGTTCCGAAAGGGCACCTCTGGATTAACAGCGCGCCGAGATTTGGGTTCCTTCCCCCCAGCCTCAACCTCTTCCTTATTTTATTTTTTGGGGGGTGCCTTGCAGGCTCTGCAATAAACTGCTTTGGAAGGTAATTATTCCTTTTCCCCCCTTCTCTATTCTCTGCATTTGTCTGCTGGTGAAGGGGAAACCGATTTCCATCACCTAGGCTGGCTGTTGTTGGGTACTCTGGTTTACCTGCGAGACAAAGAGTTTGGGGGAAGCCAAGGGGGCGGGGAGAAAGCAAGCATGATGATTATTCTTCGCTTTTTTAACAGAAACCTGCAGATTTATCGCCCTGCCCAGCAAGAATTAACAATTTGGGCAAGGCAGAGGAGTTATTGGATGGGTGGGAAGCACCAAATCGAGGGTCGGGGTGGGGAGAACAAAGAAAAGTGCACAGAATGAAGTGCGTGTGGCCAGAGTAACTGAATGGAAGGCAAGGTAGCGATGGGGTTGGGGCGGCTCGCAAACGGTTAATGGCAGGGAGAAAGGCTTTGTAGGGGCTTGAATGCACAAAGCGGCGCGGGGAGGAAGGAGGTGGTGGGAAGCCGGGCGGGTTTTTGGCTGATCAGATCCGGCTGAATGGGCTGAGCGGTGCTGTGAATGATGGATCGCTTCCTTGCATGCTGAGGTGGCGAGGCGGGGGTGGGTGTCCTGGAAAGCAGTTTTCCCTCCTCTCCGGCTGGGGTAGTTGGTGGTGGTCTCCCGGGAGAGTGGGGGGAGGGGGGAAGACTACCGGGAGTCCTCCCCGGCCACACGGGCAGGCGATCACAGGGTCAGTGGGGCCAGGCGCTCCCCTTCCCTCGCCGCCCCCCTCCCCACCTCATCGTCAACTTTAGCTGGTCTCGGGCAGCATTTCCATGCTTCTTTTCATCGGCACCTCCCACCCACCCCGTTTTTGTTTTAAGACGTAGAAGTGGGAACTTTGAAGTGCTCGGGAAAGCCCTTTCGCAAAAGGGGGATCTGGAAAGAAGCAGCGCGCAGGGAAGTGATCCACACCCCCTTTGCTTGCTTTCTGGTTGGAAACTTTTCCGCTCAAGAAAGCCGTCTGCTCGCGGTAACGGTCGCGTACTGAGAGCGATCTAATCTCTCAGTCCAAACGTGCATCCGACTTGATTTCCGCCTCCGAGCCAGACTTCACAGATTAATGGTTGGGAAGGAGTTAGAAAGACGGTGAAAGTACCTGAGAGTTTTCCTTCTTGCATGGCCGTATTATTATTTTATGAACGATGCTGCTGCAAACTGACCCAGTGATCCAGATTGCCAAGCGCATCCTCCGAGAGAGGGGGCTCAGTCCGTCCCAGAGCTGAGGACAGGGCTGGCGGGTCAGGAGCGGGCGCCCCGCGGGCGGACGGGGCGGGGGCGGCGGCGGCTGCGTGCGTGCGCGGAATGGCGAGAGGAGAAGCGCCGGGCTGCGCGGAAGGCGGCGGCGCAGCGCCGGGCGCGGTTTTGGCCGCGGCGGCTTGGGGGGCGCCGCGCGCGCCGCTGCTCGGCTCGGGGGCGGCCCGGCAGGGCGAGAGTCGCGACGAGCGCCGGGAAAAAGTTCGCGAGGCGCGGCCGCTGGCGGGCTCGGAAATGTCACCGGGGGCGCGCCGGGCTTTCTCCGCGCTCCGGGAGCAGCCGCTCGTCACCCTCCCGGCGCGCAGCCCCTTCCCTCCGCCCCAGCTGCTTTCTTTTACGCGGGCCCGCGCTCCCCACCCCCATGCTTCACACGTCCTGCCTCGAGTTTGGGAAAGGACTTGCTTGCCAGATTCTTTTTCCAAGCAAGCTGGAGAACAAGAGCGCGGCTGGCCCGGTCCAGAGGCGTGCCCCTTCCCTCCCCCCCGACACACGCCTCCTCCTCCTCCTCCTGCTGGTGCTGCTGCTGCTGCAGAAGGGACGAGGGCGCTTCTGCGAGCCCTCGCCAGGCCTAGACGAAGCCCCGGCCCGCCTTCTGCTGAGAAACGCATGCGGGAGAGGGAGGGCTCCCTGCCCGCTTCTCCTGGTCAATCGGCCCGCTCTCCGGTCCGGATTGGCGACGCTTGAACAACCGGGACCCAGGAAGGGCCGGCGCGAGGCGTCTCTTGGCGCATCTCGGCGGCTGAACCTGAAATGCGGAGCTGCGGGGCTTTGGATGGATCCCTGGCTCCCCCTGCTGGGGAATGTCGCGCGCCGAGGTTGGGGCGGGGGCGCGCGCGAGAGAAAAGCGAATTCATACGAGCAGGCGGCGTTAGCTTCTGAGGAGGGCAGGGGACATACTTGCGTATTTAACGCTGGAACTGAGCCTCCGAATGCAATTACATCGGCAATGAACGCTAAACAGTCGTCTTCCAGCCCCTTCACGTTTGCAACTTCTCGCCATTCCCTACCTGCTACTCCACTTTTTCTGCTCCACTTTTCTGCGTTTTAGCCAAGCCCTTATTTTATTAAGTAGGGAATAAACGCTCCGTAGCATAAATGTTGTATGAAATGAATTTTACTTTACACACGAAAAAGCAATCGGCTCGTGTAGTTTACCTGAACTAAGCTTAATCAGATTCAGGGATCGATCCCTAATTTGTCCCGCCCTCGTGGTGTGTTTAATGCCAGAGCTCAAGTATGCAACATGTGCAAACCACGAAGAGGCGTTGGGACTGGGGCAGGACAAGGTCTGTGGTCGCCCAGTGATGCTTGGCTTCTGCGGACGAGCGCCCAGCTTGCAAACTGAAATATCAAGGCCGTGTCACCTCGTATCACTTCAGGCGCAGTGAAGTGGCTTGCCAAGCGTGGAGGGGGAATGTACACGTGTGAACGACCTTCTGAGTGTGTGTGCGTGTGCGCGCCCTTCATCTCCCCCGCGTTTCATCCGGAAATGGACAGCAAGTCTCCAAGCAGGAAGGCGCGTCTGTCGCGCGTGTGCGCCCTACCTGCCAGCGGTACTGCAGGTCAATGGCGCGGCAAATGCTTCGCGGGCGTTTCCGGGTGGGGCTGGGAAGCCACCCCGCCCGCAAGCCTGGAGAGCCGCTGCCTATGGACCGATCTAAGGCAGCGTTCCCTGCTCGCGTGCGCTTCTTGGGCAACATTTGCAGGCTCGTTCCCGCCAGGCGGATGCAATTCCAGGCAGACAGCCGTGTGTAGCCGCCTTTGCGTGCAGTTTATCTTAAGGTCACCCCGCGGGTCGCTTTTAAGGGTGGGTTCGCGGGTTAGCTTTGGAGGCTGAGTTTCCAGGATAACTGAGATCTGCTCAACAAACTCCACTGAATCTGTATACAAAGAAGGAGAGTGAGAGAGCCACCAATCCATCCAGCGGCCCTCCGGTGCATACTGCGAATCTTCGGACGCACTTCAGCTGTTGCTTTCGCTGCCTTTGCCTTGAGGGATGGGGAAGAGATGCGCTGAGGCAGGCACTAAGCCCGCGTTTCCTTTCCAAGAGAAAGAAAATTCTGTTCCCATTTTCTCCCATGGCACGGGGGATGGGTGAGGAGGGAGGGGGAATCAGCGGCGTGCAGGGAGGGTCTCGCTGCTTCCACGCCTTGCAGGCGCTGGGAAAGTGTAGCCAGACACCAGTGGACGAGGATTCCTCCGCTTGGGCGCTCTGGCAGCAGCAGAAGGGCCAAGGCGGCCCTCCTTGGGAAGGGATCCGAGGACGCGAGGGGCATCCCTCGCGCAGGAATTTAGCCGGAGCCCGGGCTCCTCCCGCGGGGACCCGGAGCGGCCCGTCGGGAGCCACGCACCCGCGGCACTCGCGTCCCCGCCCCCCCCCCGGCCGCCCCCGGCCGCGCCTGTGGCTCCCTGGCGCGCCCCGGGCCAGCTGGGAAGGGAGCCTGGGAGGTCCCTTCCTGCCCAGCCACGTGGACGGAGCGGTGCAGCCGGGAGGCCGCCGGGCTCCTTTGTCCCGCCGCACTCGGAGCATGTGGAGTTGGGAAGCGGCGGCGGCGGCGGCGGCCGAGCCGTCTCGCTCGGAGCCCTTTTGTTTCACTGGGAGGGCGAGCAGGCGGGGAAAGGCAGGCGGGACGGAGCGCAGATTTCCGTGGAGCTGCCAATGTCATCCCGCCCTGATACGCACCGGGGATGCGCCTGGCCTTGGGACATGGCGGGCAGTTTTGTCACCACACCTAAAGAAGGATATTGAGGAACTGGGCAAAGTGGAGGGGAGGGCAACTAAAATGTTCACGAGTTGGGGAAAGATGACAGCAGCGGAGCCTGTTTAGCTTGGAAAGAGGGCGAGGAAAGGGTGGCCAAAGGCACTCATGGTGTGGAGAAAGTGAGAGGGAAGCGTTTTTCTCCCTCTGGCAAAATACTAGAACCTGGTTCTTACCACAAAGCTGCTTGATGGGAGGTTCAGGACGGATCAAAGGATGCGCATCTTCATGCACACATAAACTATGGAATTTACTTGTCTGAGATGTAGTGATGGCCACCAATTTGGACCGCTGTAAAAGTGGATTAGACAAACGCATGGAGGAAAAGGTTGTCCATGGGGAGATGCCCCCTCCAGTGGCAGGGGCAGCATGCCCACTCCGCTATTTCCCGCTGGAGAGGAAGGCTCTGTTCAGCTTGGGGGTTTCCCAGGGGCAGCTGGCCGGCCCCTCTGGGAACAGACTGCTGGACTCGCTGGACCCTTGGCCTGATCCAGCAGGGCTCTTCTCACATTCTTATGCCAGGGTCGGTGAAGGGATCGGGGGAGTGTTAAAGCCCTGCCTGCTGCCCTTCAGCAACGGTGCTGGGGAAGGGAAGGGATGCACCAAGGCTTCCTGAGCACTCTGGCTGCTTAGTAAATAAGGCTGGGGGAGCACAAAGGACAGGGGGCACACATTAGTGGGGAGACTTTCACAAGGGGAGATCTTAGATGGGGTGGGAAGGCCTAGCCTATGGGACATTTCCCAGAGGAAATGCAGAGTCCTTCTGATCAGTGATGCACCAGCAATCTCCCCTGGTGTTCCCTAGAAACTCATTTGCATGAGTTTCCATGCCTCTGATAATATAGGGAGCATATAGCCACCAGGACAAGGAGCCACTGAGATCCTTATCTACTATGGATTTGTTTAATCTCCTTTTAAGGATGTCTAGGTTGGTGGTCATCACCACATCTTGTTGTAGAAAATGTCATAACTATGAGTTATGTGAAGA